TGAACCCTTCAGCCCATATGGAGCAAGGTTCCCCACCCTGTCAATGAACAGCGAAACCATAATTGTTAATTCAGGTATGATGCTAAACAACACACTCTTTCGGATCACTAGATTTCACTCTCATCAGCATTAGTTTCCACAAGAGACCTTGAACAGCAGTGTTAAATTCATGATTTGAAACATCAGGATGAGAACTTACGTTTGGAGATGCAGTCTTCAGATCCAGAAACTCAACGTCAATAATGAATTTCCCTGTTAAAGGAACCTCAATCTGCCAGACGAAATCATCATTGATCTTCAGCTGTTTGTCTGTTATTTCTGTAAAACAGAGAATCAGATCGAAGTTAATTGTCTTAGCTTAGAGGACGTGACTTTCCAGCAGCATCAGAAACCAAAATCAATCAGAAAATGCTTTCAAAAACATGTGAGTTCTTCCATATTCACCAGCATATATGCTTTTTACCATCAAAATATGAACTGGTGGCTCAAAATAAATGATCAATTTGCAGAAGCAGCATCTACCTGGATGAGTGAAAGCCCTTCGATCTCCTGTAGAGCAGACAACGCGGATGATGAAGGAAGCAATTGGAGGATTTTCTCTTGTTAGATTTGATATCTCCGGGTACAATTTAACATACAAAACCCTGTTCCTCTCCACCGACAAATGCCTTGAATCCAGATAAAAGAAGCAAGAAGAGATAAGAACGAGGTTCCTTTGCCCTCATAACTAAAGCCATAAAAGACTTGCAATACTACAAAAACAAAAAAAAGCATGCTTTTTCAGCAACCAAACAAAACATCAAACTTTCACTCAAACCTTAAAAGTTTTCAACAGTTTAGTTTCACCAATGTGCAACACAGGATTTTGTCAGGGACATAAACCAGGGTCAAAGTGATCAACAAAGAACACGCTTGCTAAAATTGAGAATTCTGCAATATTCTTTCATGATGAACAACAACAAATTCTAGAAACTCAGAAAAACAGAAACAAACCAAAGGACAAGCCTAAAAGGGTTATCTAAATGCAGGGACTTGTATCCAAATTTCCAGGGACGAGAAGCCAAACTAATGCGTGATCAAAGCATCATAGTTTTGTTTTTTGAATCTTTGTAAACAGATGGAGAGAAAGAAGGAAGCTAAAGATAAACAATCAGACCAATTCCACTTGCCGATCTTGAAAGGATCGGATTTGCGGTAAGTGCAGGAAGCAAGATTGTCTATCCTCCATTGAGCAAGGCGAGCAGTGGTTTCGACTCTATAGGCAGACTCGCTCATCCTAGACAAAGCGAGGGCCGCAGTGATCTCATGGATGCAATCAAATATCCCCTCGAAGAAATACTCCCCGGACTTTCCCAGGTTTACTGTTACAATATCGTTCTCTCCACATAAATACTTGAATTAAACAAAAAAAAAATAAGAAAAATGAAAACAACCCAGTTCTCTCTTCTGTCTGTAAAACACTGCTGTGTGTTGCCTGGAAAAGATTACAGACAGGAGAGAACTGGTGAAGTTTATGTCAAAGTTTGAAGGGTTGTTGCTGTTTTTTTTTTCCTTTGTTATTTCAAAGGTTTCAGGTACACAAGGCCGTTGGTGTTGCTTTACGCTAGTGATGGTGAAGTATGATCGTATTGGCAGGGGAAGAGAGAGAGTTTGAGGAAGATTTGGTGAAATGTTGGTTGGATTTTGCACTGAAATTCAGGTGGGAGGGGCGCGTGGGGGTTATTTATTGGCTTGGTCGAGTCCTTGGATGGTTTCTCATTATGGGATTTCTAAGTAAACTACTATTTCGCTAGGGAAGGGGGAGGGGGGGGCGCGGGGGGTTGTGGTTGTTTCTGGAGGAATTAGTTTTGGTGCTTTGAAGCAAAGAATCTAATACTTTCTTTTATTTGTTTGTCTGTCAGCTGCAATCCATTCTCATTCTATTCCTCTTTGACACTCATTTCTAGGCCATCCATGCATTGGCGTGCACCCAATTCAACTCCCATTCATTGGATCAGTGTCATGCATTCTTCCCTCGCTTTCTTCTTAGTTTTTATGTCAATAAAACCCAATAAAAGAACCGAAAATTCTTAAAAAATACAGAACAGAGTTAGCAAGCTTTCGTTGCAGTTTAAGAATGGCTTTTGCTTGAGGGGAGGTTTAAAGATAAATACGTAGTCCTTTTTAAGTTAAATCATGAATTGTAATCAATCCATCTGCCTATGCCCAAATTAAGAAGGGAGGGAGGTCGGGAAGAAAAGAAAAGGACAAGTAAACTAATAAAGCCTTTAGCACACCAAAGATTCTTATGTGTAAGCATCAAATTGCAGATGAGGTCACTCACCTTATCTTTCAACATTGTGTCCATTAATCATAAAGAGTAGCCAAGATCAAGTCCCCATCTGATTAAGTAAGATTACCCCAAAGTTAATTAGCTTAACATGATATATTCATATCAATATGAATATGGAAAAACAGTCACCAACGAATAAAAACCATGTACATCGATTATAAACTTAATATTACAGGAAGAAGTACATGCTTTCAAGCAATGGGGTATTGGTTTTGTAATCATTTGAACAAACAGGCAGGAGGAGAAGGCAAGTGGGCAATTTTTTATATCAACCAAAGAAGGAAATGGCCATGGAGGCATTGATTAGCAACTGGCTTGGAATCTTTGATTTCTTTGTTTATTCTTGATGTTAGTGTAACACACAATTTTTCCTCTTCGACTGGGGAGACAAGAAAGGTATCTTTGCGGGACAGGCATGGAAGAATCCTTTAAGCATCCCAATCTTGCAAGAAATCTGAACAAAGACATCTCAAATGATCTCAGCCATACACCTAGGACATAGCCAGGAAAGATAGGCATAGCCCACTCGTAAACAGTCTGATGTTTCTACCTTCTTTCCTTTACACTAATTCAGTGTACAGTAGGATACTTATTTGGGAGCCTAGGGCATTTCAGTTTTCAATATGACATAATTGATAGATAGACAGCTGCTGTTTTGCACCGTCATTTCTAAGGCCACTTTGACTGAACCATTGGTTAGAGTTTTTGGGCGTGTGTGTAAGTTCTTTTAACAAGGGTGGCTAGCTAAACAGGAAATGACATAAACTCTGAAACCCCATTGGGAAAATTGGCATTAGAATTAAAGATTTAAACTACTATGGATAGAAAGATTAGCTTTACTCTCAACAACCTTTATTTGGTTTTATTTCTGTGACCAATCGCATGATGAGTCCTCATCACCAAATGCCACTGCACTATAAATAAAAGATTCTACAGTGTTTCTTGATTTGTGCCTAATTAATGACTAAATTTAGTTTAATGGTATTATAAGACTAGATTTACAAGGTGGGGTAAAGCATGATTATTTTTTGTATGTGGATGTCACTCTCGAAATATGAGTCTATTGTTATATTTGTATCATTTTTCTATAAATACAAAAAATTTTTGAAATCAGATAATATAAATGGTATTCATATATTTTTTGATTTGATAAAAAAGAATTCAAATCTTACTTTTTAAATGAGATCATGCACCTATTACTTAATCGAATTCTTGAATACAGTTGGTTCTTATATTTGTATTGCTTACTCAGCATGACTATACGTGATTTGTTTATTTAATAAATTTGGTTTTGGACCTACTAATCCTTTGTCTTAATTTCATAAGTATCTCCCAAACATATTAAAATCTTAATTCTCGATCAATATTAGATGAATCCTAAATATCTTCTGATAAAAAGGAAAACAACCCACACTCTTGAATCTTATATTATCACCTAACAATAAAGACAATAGTATGTGAAAGTGACATTCAATTAGATAAAACACTGAGAAAGACAATTGGGTTGTGGGGCTTCATAATCTTGCTATCAACTTGTTGTTCAAAGTTTGAAGGGTGGGTGTACTTGGATAGTCTGGGTGACACATGGCGACTGTCGAATGCACTTGTCAAACTAATTAATTTTAGCTTAATGACGTGTATTTGACAAAGGGTGGCCTGGTTGAACTTTTGGTTAATCTAATTAGAGCAGATGGACAGGCTATGTGTTGCAGCTAAATTCATGTCATAGACGCATAGTCATCAAATGAATGCATTTCTTTAGATCGAGCACACAACAATTTTCACCTATTAGAATCATTTTCTTTGTCTGTCACATGATTTAGTAGATTTCTTTAATGATTGAAAGGGTCGGTTATCTAGAAATTGAGCATATCCGGAATTCCTGAAGTAAACATATCCGATGCAATTGACCATTAATTTCATGATTGTTTTGTATAGTTTTGATTGCTTGTTAAACAGAAAAAAACCATCTGATATAGCTTTCAGGAATGCATAACAGGATCGAGTCTGCAGTTTTGAAGTTTGAATGATGGGAACCAAGCAACCAGCAACAGGAACTGGGGCAACAGGAGATTTTTTGTACATCAGACAGCCTGCGGTTTTCTATAGATTGTTCTTGTTATGGATAACCCTTTGCATTCAGCTTCAATGGTACTAGACTTCAGGTTGCCTTCAACTAAGAACATTTTCTGATGAGCCTACATTAACAAAACAGGATTAAATTTAGTAAAGAACTGATTGATATTTCTGCACTTTTTTGGTTGTTTACTGCTTGTTGTTTGCCAAAACATCAACTACCATTCCAGATTTGCCGTTTGGAAGTAACTGGTTTGGTAGGATGTTAAGTGGGCTGGATCAGCCTAAACCTTATCTTTAGCCCAATGAATACTCTCAAGACATCTCGGGGTGACATTTCAAATTATTCTCTCACTTAATTGCCTTGGAACCAAATTTGGAAGGCATAAATACTGTTTCCATCTTTAATGTGAATCCTTTCCCTGATTGTTGTAAACTACAATGATGAACAATAGCTTCTTCGTCAATGATCTCTAGGTTTTTTTCCCAATGCTATTGGCAAAGACAGATTCAGGAAAGAACAGCGACAAATAAGGGGATAAGGCATTATCCTTTGGAGAGAGAACCCATACATCTG